GGCAAAGATGCCCCCTTGGGCTCCCCATCCCACCACTGACCGCAGGGCTCCATCAGTGAGATGGGGCCAGAAACAACTCTGTTGAAAACAGGGCTTTTGATAAATTGCAAGTGCTCATGGAAATTCTGTCCCTTAAAAAATACATACTTCTGCAGAAACCCTGAGCTCTGGTTCTTTGGGGTCTTTTTTACCCCCAAATAGGACCATTCCCCATACGGAAGGAGGAAAATAGCAAACACCTCACCCCAGCAAGCCCATCCTGGGACATTATCTGAACCCAGCTGCTATGAACATGCAAAACAAGCGATGGGTCCCGAGGGACCTATGAGCTGTGCCATGTTCCCCAGTATCACTCTATGTCCCTTCTCACCACCTTTCCAGGCACCCCACCTCTTGCGTGGTCCCTGTGCAGGGGAGAAGCCATCAGCACCAAGCCTTGTCACAGGGAAGACACGTTGCCCAAATACCCTTCCCACCACCGTGAAGGCTACATTCAGGGATTTGGGCCACCTCTCTGCTCCCAACACAAGAGCATTCCCCTCCTCGCTTTGCAGTAAAACCACAAACAAATTTCTGCTACCCCAGGGCTGGTCCTCCATGCTCCCCATCACCTCTCCTTGAGGGACTCCAAGCCACAGCGGAACGGAGGTGCCACCACCATATCCCACCCAAGGGTTCATACAACAGAGCATGGCAGACAACTCGTTTCTTCTCCTAAAAACAGAGGCAGAGCCAAATTCTCCAGCCTCTCAAGAGCAGGGCTACCGGAGGGCCCTGGCTGCTGCAGGCAGGAGCCGACAGCACACTGAAGCTGCTCCTCCGCGGTCACCATCCCCTTTGGAGATGAGCAGATGTCACACCCAACCTCCTCTGCTCGCTCTGACATTGATTCAGTGCTTGGCTAATTAATCCTTCCCCAACCACTGCCCAAGCTCGAGTCAGTAGCTGTTGCCATCCTGCTTTAGATGTGCCCAGGCTGCTTTGCCCTCTCTGGCTGCCTGTCCTGCTGCCTCCTGGCACAGGGCATCCACCGCTGGCCCCAACAGCCAGGATCCTGCAGACCTCCAAAGTGGGGTAAGGGTAGGAAAAGCCTCATCGCCCCAAGGCACTGAGCAGCCATCCGGGACTTGCTGGCAGGTCCGGCCGCCCGTGTGGAGAGGCAGCTGGGATGGGAGAAAAGAGTGGCCCACAGACGAGCCATGGGAATCCACATTTTGAGGTCTGAAATCACCTCGCAGCAGGACATATGCAAAGCAGAAAAGCCAGCGGTGTGCGCACACACACCGGGCTTGTGTGTTCTTCCATGCACGTGTGTTTGCACGCTCTCTTGTAAATGGGTTCAGGCAACAGCAAGGAAGACAGGAACCGCGACTTGAGCTTGCTAGCAGGTTAGCAAACCCTGCTCCACTTCACCTTGGGTGCAAGCATGAAACCAGACTACAGATGAACATTACGAGCCCCGTGTGCCCCCCCCCACCTGCAGAGCCCTCACCATGCCCACCACCCCCACCAGCTTCCAGCTGCAGCCGGGCTCTGACCCACCGTCCCTGCACTCCCCGAGATGCAATATCCACCCTTACACGTCTTGGACCGCTGCAAGAGGCAGCAATTACTGTAGATTATCAGCCCAACAATGACAGGCCGCGTAAAGAGAGACACAGAGCCAACTCCACCGCCCCGAGACTGGCATATTCAAGTACACTTAGGACATTAATAGCAATTTACGTGCCATCAGTGAGAGAGAACCACAATAGCTGTGCTGGCAGCCTCTTATTACCAAGCCTGTTATTTGTTGGAGTTACAAGCTATAATCACAACAGAAACTTTCAAAACCCTTATCTTCCGTGACGCACCAAATCTATTTCAGAGCCGTAATTGCTATGTCACCGGAGAGTTTGCTGCTTAATGCACTCAGATGCCATTTAGTGTTTGCAGGGTCATTACGGCGAGCGGGAGGGGGGAGAGCGGAGGGGGCTGTGCGGAGCAGGGCTCCGTCCCTATTGTGCTCAACTATTTTTAGCGAGGCTTTTGCGTGCCAGCCATGGTTGGAAGGAGCGAGAGGGAGAACGTCTTGCAGACAGTGACTATGGTGCCTCCATGTTTAGCACCCTGTGCCCCAAAATGCTGGGGAGCCCCACGGTACTCTAGATTGGGACTCAGCCTTCATGTGTTGCAGGAGTTTTTGCTACTGACGACCACCTCGGTGGCATCCAGTGGGAAGCCAAGAGGATGCTGGGAAGAGGCTGACCTGGATTGAGGCACCCTCCACAGACCTCACACCCTCCTGCTCCCCCAGCCTGGGAAGGCCTCAAGTTATAGGTCAAGCGGTGGAAAGGAGGCCCCAAGGTTGGCCATGACTTTATCATCTTGACGCCATCCTTTGGTACGGACAAGCCCTCCCGGAGGAGGCCGGATCCTTCCCCAGGCAGAGGGCAGGTAGGCACCATCCATGCTCATCCCTTTTATCCTGGAGTTCACCCTGTTGCTGCATGGACCAAGCCATGTGCAGGACGCATCTGATTCCATCCAGCTGGTCCTGCCTCTTTCTGAAGCAAGGAGATTCCTTGGGAGCTGACTGTGGTAAATCCCTTGGGATCTCCTTCAAAGACAAAGGAGTCTTCTGAGGAGGTGGCTGCTCCTCACAGACCCGCGGAGGAGCCCCTGCACAGAGCTGTGACTTCTCCTGGAGTGGCAGAAGCCAAAGACAGAGCAATGGTCTCCAGGACATCTCTTCAAATGTCACCTTCTGGTGCCAAAGCACAGGCAGAGCCTTGGTGGGTGTCCAAGTGGTGGAGCGAGCCCTGGTGATGAACTGCTGAAACAACTGAGTTTTGTGCCCGTTTCTGCAGGTCTCTCAGCATTTTTGTCACCTCCAGCAAGTCTGGCTGGCTCTCTGCCTGGGCCTCCTACGTGGGGCTGGGACATGATTTTTCTGCCAGTTTTTAACAGAGCCTTCTGTTTTGTACAGAGGCTGTCTCGACGTCCCACCTTCTGTGACAAAATCAATATCCCACCGTCGACAGGGCAGGGTGTCAGGTCAGCCTCCAAACACACCAGACACCTGCAAGTCTGACAGACTGGCAGTAGCCTCAAAGAGGTTGCAGACCTCTGAGCTTTTAAAAACTTGTATTAGGGTCTTCTTATGAGAGGTGCTGAAGCTCTCATTACACACCAGAGAACCCAGCCTTGTCTGGCCATCACTTCCCAAGGGTCACGGTGGCAAACTTCAGGACACACCAAGGCATCCCTAACAGATGGGGCTTGGGCACTGAAGCCCTGCCAGACCAGCTTCCATCTCCCAGCTCATGATCATGATGGTGAACCACAGCTTGCTGAGGAGCAGAGCAACAACTTTCTTTTCAAGGCCCAAATTCTTGGAAAGGGGTCTCAGCAAAAGCAAGGAGGTCTCACCTCCTCAGGAACTGGTGACCAGTGGTCCTTGCTGACCAGAGTGGATCAAAACTCAACGGCACAACCTTCCACTGAGCACCGCCATCGCGGCGACACATGCCGCACTGTGAATAGGCACAGCTCTGCACAACGGCACTTTTAAATCAAAAACCTTGCACTCTGATGAACTGTAAAAATAGCCGCTCATTTTAGACTTTTAAATGATCTATAAATTGAATTAAATAAAGTCCAAAAAGAAATTTCTGAAAGGTGTTTTGGTTTTTTTTTTTCAGATGATTATAGCTCATTTATTAATTAGCAGACAGGGGACCTAAAACACTTTGTGGATTTAGGGCCACGGGGCAAAGGCAGGAAGGGCAATGTTTTGGGTTGGGACCTTCCAAAGGATTACGGCAGTAAGGAGACAGCTTCTACTGAAACCCACCAGAACCTGGACATCTAAACGCTTTGAAACCCAAAGCCTCAGGGACCTCCAGCTGGGTACACACACGGACTCCCACAAACAAGCACTGTCCAGAGGGACCAGACACTTAAGTATGACCACACTCATACTTAATAGTGCAAAACCCCCAACCTCAAAGCCTGCAAAAAGGGCTGGAGCAGAGCCCAAACATCCCCTCCTTTCAGGTGTGGGGGGGTCCCTCCTTCTTCTCAGTGCTACGCAAGGCAGGGTACCCTCAAGACGGCTCCTGCCCCTACCATCCCTCCATCACCAAGAGCATCCCCATCCCTTGCTGAGATCAGCGCTGCCCAACCCGGTCCCCACCTGCAGAGGAGAGGGCGGCTGTTCTCACTCTGCCTCAGCCATCACTGCGGGTCACGGAGATTGCAATGGCTGGGACATCACCCATTATCCTGCTAACGATGCAGAACCAACTCCAGCCCTTTTCGCCCCGCGGAGTGGTCTGTCAGGCATCAGGCAGTGGAGCCATGGAGGGAATGGGGCTTTGGGTAGATTCCTGTCCTCAGCTGTCATGACTTACATGCATTTAAAAATTCATCCTCCATCAAGGAAGGCAAACCCCGAGCGTTGTCTCCCCTGCCAAGGTTTGCAGCGGTGGAGCTGGGCAACCTGCCGCTGACTTCCCAGCCCTGACGGGCTCCAGGGATGACTTAACCTCAGCCCCATGCAGACATCTTTGTGACAGGGCTCTTGACTAGGTTTCAGCTCATCTCCTTCCAGCAGCTCACGGGGGTGTTTGGGTGATGCGGGGACGGCAGTTTTCTGTATCACTAACAGCTTTCCTCCACTGCCCTTCCTCGGCATTAAAGGGTTCAGGGAAGAGGCAGGGAAGCCCTGCCTGCTACAAGACACCCACCCTGCCTGCACTGAGCAGCTCCCCAGGACCCTGCCCAGGATCAATGCTCACTGGATGGCAGCCACACTTCAGGGATGGACAAACTGAGGCCCCTCAAGGACCTAGCTAACGGGAAGACATTAAGTGACAACAAAAGCTACAGGGAGAAGCACGCTGCCTGGGATACAGGAGAAGCAAAACATTTGGGGACAGAGAGACAACCCAGAAGATGCTTCCTGAACTATCTGCTCAGCTCTGGCCTCCCTGTCTTGCTCCCCATGCCTACTGCAGTTTTATGGGGAAACATCCCCAAACCCAAGTGGTTTCTTTGCCCACTTGCCACCCTGCCCCTTTCTGAACAACCTCCAATTCAGGCCAGTTTGGGCTCCTTCCCTCCCTGAGGAGCCATCGGATGCCACCATGCCAGATCCCCATTTGGGAAGCGCACGGGCGACTGAGCTGCTCTCAGGTCACCAGTTCCCAGTGCTGCTCGTGGTAATACTGGTTCTGCCATTACCACGGTCAGAAACACCAGCCCAGCTCTTCTTGTCCTATTCAGCTTTTGAGTTTCCACTACCTCTTTCTTCTCCTCTCCCCCATCGCTCCCTCCGTGCCTTGTAATCCCTGGCAGCAAGTCTCCCCCCCAAATTTTGGCTTAACCCAGTCCACTGTTATTTTCCAAGCCAACTGCAACCATAATCAGCTCAGCCTCTTTCCTTGGGGGTATTTTAATTTATACAAAAGTATCATCTCTTATCATGATCAGCCTGCGATTCATTTACTCTCTAAGTATTAAAAAGCCAGAAAGGGAATAAATTCAGCACACGGAGAAATTAATGCGGAACGATAGGCTCTTTCATGTGGCATTTCCAAGCGCCGTTTTTGCAACGGGCTTATGCAACGAGACATAATTATCTGCACATGTTCAATTACATTACTTCACAAATCCTCCCTGCCTCTGCCTCCTGACGTCAAGCCGCCCACTAAGCCCCTGCGCCCGCAGGAGAGGGGAGCATAGCCCCCCGTCCCGCTGCACCCCTCTCCCTGCACTCTCTCCCTGCACCGGCGGTGGCCGCTTGCATGCCGATGGCCCGAAGATGGTCACGTACAAGGTGACAAATGGCACAAGTCTTGGCCGGGAGGGTGACAGGACTGGACGGTGCACCCCGCTGGGGTGCTCGGCTGCAGGACCACCATCCCATCTGGATGATCACCACCTTCCTGCCCAGTCTGAGACCACCCCACCTCAACCTTCAGCCTCCTCAATAGGGATGGTGGCAGCCAGCCATGTCCAGGGCCAGTCGCCCCCTCCTCCGAGCCACCCCGGACACCACTGCCACCACCCACTCGGCGCTCACAGCCTCCTTTTCCAGGCTGCCCTCTTCTCCCAGCTTGCTGTCACCGCCGCTGAGATGGCAGACGATTGATCTGAGAAATGAAGTTGGATTGCTGTCCCGAATCTACACTGGGTTCTCCTTGTGTGTGTCTGATCGATTTCCCCCTGTGCGACACAGCTTGTCGCTACGCATTTTCATGCTAGTCAGAACCCGCCAGCGCACCCAAGAACAAGGAGAAGATGCTCCAGAGACCGCCCTCCCCCTCGCATCCTCCCCCAGTCCAGTTGGGCGAGGTTTTCTTGGGTTGACGTTGGCTGGCTTTGGGTTTTTTTTTTTCTCCTTTTATTTGCAATCGTTATTGCCGCCAACCCCATCGCCGCCGTGCTTTCAGATGCCGACTAGAGGTGGGTTATTTTTAGATGGTTGTTCCGGGATAGTGCCATTGGCCTCCGCATGGAGCCACCTCTGGACTGGGGCGTTTGCCGTGACATTCCCCACCGTGGTTACACGAGGTGTCACCTGTTTAGCAGCTCCTCTCGGCCGAGCGCGTGTGGCCGCAGGTGCCAGGCAAACGCTGATCGGCTCTGACAGTCCTAGACGCCAGCTGCCTGCACAAAGCCTGCCCGGTCGCCACTTTTTTTGTGGGCAAAGCTCTGCCGTTGGCATGACCGATACAGAAGCAATAAACTAGGTGACCGTAAAAGCAAAGACAAGTCCTACTAAGTGGCATTCTGAGCCCTATGGCTTTGAAATAATTGGTAGTGAGAGAACAAAAATGAAAAAAAAAAGAAAGAAAAATAAAACAAGAACCCGAGCCTATTTTTTTCTTACACTGATGCCCTGCGGACTATACATCTGACTTGCTGCGAGTCCGTCACTGTATCCTCCTGTCTGGCTGATAACATGGCGAAGGGTATCCACCTAAACAGACCAACGACAACAAAGACACAAATTAGAGTGAATGAAAGGTTAGTGGGCAAAGCCGCTTCAGTTCATCTTTGGCAAGATCAAAACAAGCAAACAGCAATAATAATAATAAAAATAAAGATATATATTTGAAGAGAGGTAAAAGAGAACTGCAGTTGGTCTTGCGGTGAGAGCCAAGCCAGAGGAGTGCTCCTGCCTCCCTCGCCACCCTCCACCTGCCCCGGCGACCCCGTCATGCTCTCCTGGGCCCCAAGTCTTTTGACAAAAAGAGTGGAGAGGGAGAACAGCGTGGTAAGCGTGGGGTGGGACCTCCTGAAGTATAATGCTGCGGCTGGCTCCACCATCGTGCTCGAGGACCCACGTTCCTACCCCTACCCCCTTCCACCCTTCAGCCCCAATGTGCCAGGAAGCCCACGGCAGTGGAAGGAAATCCTTGGAGTCAGCCGAGTGCCTTCATTTCAGAGGGTCCAGAAAAAGAACATACCTACCATGGCAAAGGCACCGACAGGTCTCCTCTGGGTGCCTCGTTCCTCTCCCTCCACTCCCCCAGCCCAGCCCCGGCAGCGGTACGTGTGGCGAGCACGTCTCGTCGCCCACGGATGACACGCTTGCTCTGCGGCCAGCACTGCGAGGGGAGCAATCTCGGCTTTAGAGAGCTCTCCTTGCCCGATGCAGAAGTGTCAGAGTGGCTGTCGTCTCTCAACACAGCCTTGTATAGAGCCTTAGACACCAGAGAGTGGACTCATGGCACATCTGGACATCGGATGGGAGGTGGGAGATTCGAGTGAGTTCCTGGTTATTTTTAATTCTTTCTTTTTGCCCAAAACATGGGTTGACATTTCAGTAACGCTGCTCAAAGCTCCCTCGTTCTGTCTTGTTGGTGTGTACATGGGTGGTGTGAGTGCCTGTGCTTTGGGGAGATGGTGAAGGGTGGCTTTTAATTAAAAAAAACTTTAAAAATCTAGCTGTGTATTTGAACATTTCTTGCCTCTCAGCAGACACCTGGTTCGGTATCAAAGGAGTAAGTGGAAGCCTTGTAAAACGAGACACCAGTCCAAACATCTGGCCCCTTCCCTTGGAAAAATAAAGCAAGCAGAACCTAAACCTCAGCTGCTCTTGTTTGAGTTTGTGCCTGTTCTCCGAAACCTCCTCTCCTCCTAGTATGACTATCAAGCCAGAGCCAAATGCATTCACAAAGTGTGGGCAAGTCTCCTCAAGACCATGGTTGTTGGTTTGGTTGGCTGTTTGTTTTTGGTTTCTTTTGGATTGATTTTTTTTTTTGGTGGTTGTTGCTGTTGCTTTTTTTTTGGTTGGTTGGTTGCTTTTTCGGTTTGGTTTGCCTTTTTCAAGTGTTGGTTGGTTCATTTGTGCTGGTTGAGATTTGCTCTTTTCGGACGGGAGGGAGAAGTGCCAATACAATCAAAGGCTCCTCCAACACTAATGCATTCACTGGCAGTACATCGGATGGGTCCCTACCTGTGACTGCACGTTGGCTCCAACCTGGGCCCCTTGGTAAGAATCCCCATTGAGAGACTGCACGCTCATGAACAAATCTCCAGAGTTTGACATGTTAAAAGAACTGGAAGAACCTGGAAAGGAAAGACTGAATCACAGAAAGGAAAAAGATCCACCCCATGACTCTCAGCCAAGAGGAAGGAACAACATGCAAAGCAACCACAAAAACAAAACACACAGTCAGGTTAGTAGTATGAAGAACAGAGCAAGCAAAAAAAAGGATGCACTCTTGAGGTTATTCAAAGCCACATGTTGTTACAGCTCAATGCCAAGAACATTCTTCAACAGCTCCTCAGCTGGAGGAAGGACTCTTCATGCTTTCAACCGAGACAAACAACACCCAGCCTAGAGGACTCGGACAGCGCTTTCCCTTCATTTCAGGGCATCAAAATCCTCCACGCAGTTTTGAAAATCTCGGTTGTTGGAGGTGTCCACCCAGCAGACTGCACTGGAGAACAGAATTACCCAAAGAAGCCTCGCTATCGAGACTTTTGAGCAGGGCGAACCAGGCCCATGCTATTGCTGCTTCTGAGAAGCTCAGATCAGGGAGGGTAAGTCTACACCGCACGGCTCTCTGCAGGGCGAGCACATCCAGGCACCATCCAGTTCCACGGCCGGAGCTCCTGCTGAGCCACCGGGAGCTCTGCGAGGGAGCGGTGCGTGGGTTTGCCTTCAGGACATCAGGAACCCATCCCTGGTGGGAACTGCAGCACACCAGGAACCAAGGCTCACAAAATCGTGAAGGCACCTGGGCTAGAATCCCAGTGCCCATCATGTTGGCAAATGTCTTTCATCGTGATGGGCCATGAGAGAACGCCAGGGTGTCACAGCCCTTCCGGGCCAGCTGCCCCAGAAGAACGAGCTCTGTAAGCAAATTCCCCACTGCATGCACCAGTCGCCAATGTTACGCTAAAAAAATGATAACGGTGAAGACAACTGGGTGGGATCAGGAGGAAAAAAAAACCACAAATGAAAAGAAAAAAAAAAAATCCCGTCTTCATAGAAAAAAGGCTTTCTGCTTCCAGCTTTGAGATATCTGAGCATCTCCTCAACTACTGAATGGGAGAAACAAACCCATCACGTAACTGGAAGGTGGGGAAGGAGGGAGGGGGTTAAAAATAAATCAAAAGGTTTTATGGGATTATTTCAGAACTTATCGTGCAGATCAGCGCGTTAAGTGTGAGACAGCTCAACGTGCAAGGTTTGGTTATATACATGACGTTAGCCTTGGAAAGGAGAGACTTCAGGGGCCCAGGTCAGCTACGCTTTCAGCTCCAACCCCAAATACACTCTCGTCATCTCCACCGCCACTTCCAACTTGGAAGACTGGCAACCACAGTCCTGGTGGAATTGCCCAACTATGGCTCATGCGTATGCTCTGAGAAACGCCTGGCAATCCCCCTCCCCTTTGCTGGAGAGGGAAGAAACACTCTGGACAGACCCCAGCTCTGCCCTGGAGGTGGACAGGGAAGGTTCCTCTGAAGGAAGCCACCCCCAAGAAAGGTCAAGGAGCAGGTGGGAGGTCTATGCTGGAGACTTCATGTTCATTAAACTCCCTGCTGCTCCTTTTGCAACTGGCTCTTCTGTCAGGTGCTGGCAACTCTCAGAATTGAAGGAAAGCAGAAACATCACCGCTGCATACAACGCCCAAGACAGTCAAGAAAAGACTCATCCCCAGCACAGTGAGTCTTGCATCAGGACCCTCCCACGAATGCCTGAAAAGAGCAGAGCCAGGAATAGCTCATTGTGCTCACTGTCAACCCTGCCCAACCTGTTCCAGAGAGCAATCCCACAGCTCTACATAAAATAACCGGGACTAGTCAGAAGGCAGCTGTAACCATCACCTCCTCTGCTCAGCTGGCAAAGGGTTCCTGTCACTTCCCAACCTCTCAGGTTACTCGCTATTTTAAAAGCAAAAAACCTAGGGAAATGAGCTGGCGGACTGAGGACAGCCCACCCTGACATTGCTCAACTTTAAGTGTGAAGATGGGCACTTTTCACATACACAAAGATGCTTCCTATCCGGTCTTCTGAATGATGGCTTTGACCACCGGCATAAAAGCAACAGGGCAGTAACGTGGCTTCGTACTCCTGCAGTGGCTGAGAACCACAGGACTTTGCCGCCACCGCTCACAAGAAGCAGAGAACGTTCTCCTGCTCTTTTAAGGTGAGCAGAAACCTCTGAGATCACCAAATAGTCAGTGGCAGAGCTGGGAAGAGGACTTGGGAATCCCTGAGCACCTGCCAAGGCACCGCTATCGCTCTGCCCCAGTAGAGCAACATTTCATCCCACCTTGCCCTACCAAAAGAAAACTGTAACAGTAATAACAAATAAAAATGCCATAAACTTAACTGATATTTTACCAAAACTTAACAAACCTGGCCGTAAAATTGAGACCGGGAGGGAGGAAATAAAAATAAACAAACAGCCACAAACTCTAGTTCTGAAGAGTGTCGGTGTCTTGGAAATCATGAGGAGCGCTGGAGATGTCACTTACAAGATATACACTGCTATTGGCACAGGGTATTTTTACAATATATGTGCATATCTAAACGGTAAATATGTCTTGCCGCTGATGTGGATACAAAGATAAATATGCGCATACCAATGGCCCCACACGTACGGATGCATTTGTATCAGAGCCGTAATTGCAGAGAGTCCTTTGCGCTGCCGCTCTGCTGCTTCAGCACTCCGCTGCCTGTGTACTAGTCACGTATGAAAATTATGACGGCCTAAAGTCTCAGAGACATGGCTAAGAGGGGCTGATGCACTGAGGTGGGAGAGAGGGCAGGAATGTGAAGAGCACTGAAAATTAAGACTCTGGTATCCTCCACGGAGACACGATCCGGGAATACAAGGCAAATCCTTCCACTGGAGGAGGCTCCATCATAAATCTAATCTGTCCCTCTGAAAGGTTTCATTGTGAACATACCAAAGGTCTTCGGTGGTCATAATTTGATCTAGGGCTCCTCAAGAACTGAGAGGTAACGACCATCTTTGAGCTTGTGAACCCAGGAGGAAAGGGCTCCGAGTTTGGCATGAAGTCCCTCGATACTATTGTGTGTAGACAAAAAAAAAACCCAAACCACACCAGAAAAACAAACACTTTTCATAACTTGTAGCAGTGTGGAACACTGGTTCATCTTCAGACATCTTATCAAATCCAAGACCTATCACCACTATTCCTTAGTGCTGAGTTTCTATCAGGTCACCACCAGCTTCAGAAAGAGTGCTAGAGATGTTTAAACAAGCTATGGCAGTCAGATCTTGCCACTGGCTGAAAGCCTAAATCAAAACAATGCCTGCAAAGAGATCTCTTTCACTCCTAACATTTCTGATGAGCAAAACCTACTTCAAGTTTGCTTCCAGTTCAAAAATCCTCACAAGCTTGACTGTTGGTAGTTCTTGCACCACTTCTCCAGTTCTTCAGAGAGCTGCTTCTCCAGCTTCTCTATTGTCTTCTCCAATGTGCTGACAGTCTCAACTTCCACCTCAAATCTTCCAGGACCTCTAACAAATCCTTTTCTCTAAAGTATCCGACAATTCAAACAGCATCAAGAATAAACAAACATGGTAAGTGTTCACTGGAGCTGAAATCAAGCCATCCTCATCTGCTGCCTCATACCACCTACCACCAATGAGATGGAGATCCAGCACACTGAACCACTGAAGTCAACTTTGGTCATGTATGCAAGACTCCTAGTTGAAGTCAATGGCAATGACATATATGCATTGAGAGGACTGAATTTATCTGCCCTGTAACTTTTCCTTGTGTTTCTACCATGGTGACAGATGAGGGAAGAACTTGATGGACCACGTAGCTCCTCAGTTGGACAAAGCCACCAAGTTTGACAGCAGGTCTAAAAGCCTGAGATGATCCAGCAGGTCATCTGTTCTTTTTCACTTGCCAACCAACACTGAAGACAGCAAGACCACGAGCAGAACAGCCCCTCTGCTGAAGTAGGGTGCTCTCCAGTGCTGTGCTCCGGACAAGTGATTGCCACAAGTGGAGGAAGCACATTTCCAGACAGCATGATCCCTTCCATCAGCAGCTTTGCAAGAAGATTTTTACAAAACAAAAGGGTGAGCAGGAAAAAAAAACAGTTTAGGACAATTTTGGCTGCTCTGCATGGAAGATTTCACTGGATGTCATCACCTGTGTGTGGCCCTTGAGGACTTTAGTTGGCAAAGGGGTCTGCCCACATAAAATAGCTTTCATTTGCCATGTGGTTTTTGTGCTGAGATTGTCCAGGCAATCAAAGTGAGGATGGGGAGTTGTTAGCCCAAATGAGCCAGACATCTCAGCTTATTTGAACATCTGGCTGATAAAGCCCAACTGTGCGTATTCAGGATGAAAAGGTGTTTGACATTCAGGCCTGGGTGACTGAGGATGGGGGACCCCGCTTTGAACATGCCAGATGGCTAGACAGATGCAAACCTTGCCCTTGTCAACGTGTGGCCAATCTCTTTGACTGACTGTAGCCATTCACCGATCTCCGGTAACATGGGTATCAATGCAGAGAACAGATGGGCCTGCGTAGCCACAGCAGAAATGAATTTAGCTCCTGTCCCAAGTCCCATCGCATCCAGTTCCACCTTCTCTTCCAACATCATGGCCCTCCAGGGACTACATTGCTGGTCGTTTCTTTCTCATGACCTGTCCTCTGCCTACTGTCTTTCTTTCCACATGCCCTACAATGTATTTAAATGAGGAGGTCCTACAAATTCCCAGCAAATCCTGTCTTTGTTCTGGCTCCTTCCTCACCAAAGTCTGAGCCAATGATCTGAAAACAGAAAGAAGTCCATGGTGTAAAAGGAGAGATATCATCCATCTTAGTCCTTCACCTCTTCATCCACTTCCACATTCCTCCCAGGGCAATTCAGCACATCAGGATGGCTCACGGCCCTTGACACTATCCTCCAAATCTTTCACAGACAGGTATTTCAGACCTAGCATGTACAGGTGTGCTTCTTGCTGCTAGTACCTACAGGGCAACCTGAAGCAGGGGAGGTACCACGACTCCAGATGTCCTCGGGACGTGCCTTTGCCCCACAGTGTGACAATGCAGAGATGCTTGACTGAGGTGTTACATCCGCAGGTGTCAGCTGGGGAAATCTCAACCTGGGATGCCACTGTTGGAGATAAAATTCTGAGGCCCTTCCACTTGTCTTCTCAGGAGAGGACTTACAAGGACATCCAAATCCACTATCTCTGCAAGCTGACCCAGAGACTACTGCAGTGCTGACAGCAGGGCCTCCCCTGCTGCAGCGTACAGGGAGGGTGGTGGGATCTGGGCCAGGTTAGAAACACTTTCCTTCTAGCAGAAAAAGGACCTCCATGGCCCGCGAGCTCCCCTCGCACTGATGTGCTGCTTTAGCAGTGCCGGCATGTTATGCACCTGAAAAGAGGTCAATGTTTCTGGAGTGCAGATGAGTGAGCCAGAAAGAGGACCCAGGAGCTCAAGTCTTACCCGTTAATAACAAGACTGTTTGTCCTTCCTTGAAAGCGTAGTGTTATCCAGGGATTATCTCAGCTGTTTACTGCAGGGTACTGGCCAATTTATCTTTGAAATAGCCGTGTTGCTGCCTGCAGGGAAGGCGAAGAAACAGCCTCGCACCGGAGAACTATTTAACTGGGCAGGCACTGGGGAAATGCCTATTCAACTACACACAGGCCAGATCCAAACCCATTTAAGCAATCTGAAGCTCTTCCCTTGCTGTTCCAGACCTTTGGATCTGACTCCAGTTGAAGAAAGAGGAAAAGAAGGAAAGCTGTGTCTCTTTGGTCCAAGCTGATATGGACTGCAGGAGAGCATCACAGGCATCAGGCATCTCCCTCGACACAGGCAATTCTGCTCTCTACCCTCCATCCAGCCTTTTCTACTGGGGGGTGTTAACGTCAAGAGACCCCACCTGACCAGGTATTTCCAATGAGCTGTTTGGAAAGGATGACATTTTTAAAACTGCAGCTAAATCTTTAGCAGTTCAAACAATGGAAGGAAAAGGGAAAGAAAAAAAAAACCACAAACAAATCAAAAAGAAAAGAATCAAACAAAATTCCTGCAAACCATCTGTCCCTGCAAAACTCTGCCGCACCCACCTGAGCCCTCTGAGCACCTCAGTCGAGTCAAAGCAGCAGCACAGCTCGCTCACCGGCAGCCTGGGTGAGGAGGAGGTGGGAGAGATGCCTCCCAGCAGGATTTCTGACCTGCAACCCAAAGCTGCAGCACCTCTACTCTAGGTAGCTCTGGGGGGCAGACCCCCAGCAAGTAACACATCCCCTGAAAATGAAGGGGTTGTGTGTAGGGTCTTCTCTCCAATTCCCAACTGAATAAGCCTTCTACCACTTGCTGCTGTGCAAGCCGGCGACATGAGCCCCTGCAAGGTGTGGACGAGCTCCCCAGCACAGAGCCATCAACCACCGCTGACCACATTAGCTCATGGGTAATGGACTGCCTTTGCCTTCCCCCTGGGGGGCTGGTTTGGGAAATCAGCCAGAGATCCACACCAGTGGCTTCTCCCCTTGTTTGACCCCTGGCTCTTCACTTTCCACTCAAATCCTCCAGATCTGGGGATGCTTCTGGGGTGCAATTCCTCTGATACCTGTCACAGGCAGGGTTGCGCTCACTACAGAAGCATGTCCTGACAGCGAGCAGCATTTGATCTAAACGATGATCACTACGTGATCTTTAAGGTCCCTTCCAACCAAACCATTCTATGATTCCATGATTTGCATGCTGTACCACTGGCGGTCTACTTAACATCCAGTTTCTCCTGCTGCCCACCATCCTCTTTGCTTCCCCACTGTTTCCTTCCTCTTAGTAGCCTACCTGATAACTGCAAGCATCACGCCCCAGTGAAAGGGTACTATGAGCAGACACCAAGCTCAAAGGCACAAGAGTGGCACATTCCCACTCTCCCTCCCACCCCTAAAAAGAAAACAGGCACACAGATATTCGCATGGATAACGAAGTACATGGCATCCACAAAGTTCTCTTTTTTCCTTCCTTTTAAACAAATCCCAATTTTCCATCGCTCTTGGGAGCAGAGCACAACCAGTCGGCCGCAGGCTGGGATCATTTTTGGGTTGGCCATCCTTATAGCAGGCACCACACATGAACTAAGCATCGTTCTCTAGCAGAGGAGTTGAAATCTGGGCAAGGTGCTCTGTGCCTTTGACCCTCAAAACAAGCAAATGGAAACCACAGCAAACGGGCAGCAAAGGGGGAAAGGGAAGGGAACGACCCATGGATTTCCCTGGATCGCACTGACACAAAGAGAAAATAAAATTCACACAGAGCAGACTCTTGCAGGTGATCCAGATACTGTCATGTAAGCAATCAAAGGTAACCACAACAGAAATAAAATCAAAGGATAAAAATCTACCCAAAACAACCCCCAAAATGGCAGGAGTTAGGACATCCCAGAAATGCTGGGTTTTATCCATTAGGGCCACTCATGCTTTCAGCCCCAGTGAAATAAAATCATTATGCAACAACTTTTAAATTATTTTTTTTCTCCCCCAAAGTGCAAGCAATCCCAGCAACTTTTTTCAGATCATTTTTCTTGTTTTCTCTTTGCCATCCATGCATATAACCCCCAACGTGGCACCGTCAGTCACAAGGTCTGATCATATCGTTTCTCCAACAAAAAACAGAACAGGGAAAGGGAAGACAAAAAAAAAAAAAAAAGAAAAAAGGGGAAAAACAGAGCAAAGAAAATAAAGTACCCCCCACAAAACAACCCCCAAAACCAAACCCATCTCTTTTGGTTTTTTAAAAGACCACAAAAGTGAGCCAACCAAAACCAGAAAATAAAAATTGAAATAACCAAAAGGAGAAAATAAAAGAGAGATTAGAAGGAGGGGGGAAATGAACAAAAAAACGAACACTAACAACCCAAAATAAAAAAACAAAAACTAACCAGCTGAATTGGGAGTTGAGGGTGAGTTAGCCTGGCTTCCATGGGCTGACACATTGGTAGCCGTGACAGCCGTTTTGGCAGCATAAATATTGGCTTCCTCTTGAAATTTACCTATGTTCTTCTTGTACCGGATTCTCTTATTTCCAAACCAGTTTGATACCTAGAGCGAGTTTAAGAGAAGAGAAAGACGTTAACGTTTCAGCTCTGGCAAGTGCGGCTGGGTGAGGAAGTTGGATTAGTTCAGGCTAAGCAGTGCATATTCTTTCCCCCCCACCCCGTTTTCCTACCCATGAAGGAAGCACCTTCTACCCGCACGTGCCACACCAAGAAAGATGATGGGACCCCCCTTGGGAGCACTAGGTTTGTGCAGATACATCTGGTTCCTCTATGGATGGGATGTTCACTAAGGGGATGCTCCATAGGAACCGCTAGACCCATGCCACGAAAATATCAGATGGGTTTAAAAAACCCTGAAAAGTCAAATGACCCCGAAAATTGTAAAATTTGGAAACAGGTATGTGTCATTTTGGAACTTTTTACCTGACTCCTCCTCGGTATCTCTTTGACAGGGACAGATGCCCTCATTCCCAGATGCCCCTTCTCCTCCCTTTGGAGAAGTCAGTGTGGCTTTCAGGGAGAACACCCCAAAAAATTTACGCAGGCCTGGCTGACACATAAAATTGCCTTGATATCACTGAAGCTCTTCTTTTGATCCATTTGAGTGAAATCAGTGCAAAAGGCTACAAGTGCATGCTCTTCAGCCAGCTGAACTTGGCTTTGCATAGTTTAGCATGAGTCACTACATAAAGCGGGAGCTTCAGGGGAAGGATGAGCACAGGGCTCATCGTAAGACCTACCTTTGGTCCCAGGGAACAAGTGTGTCCCTTGGAAAGGGGCAGGAGATGCTTCTACTGTGTTTGCCCAGAGACCAGTATGGGTCTGATGTGTTCAAGTGCCTACAAGTATGCTGAATAGGGCTAGTGGATTTATTTTTAAAAAAACAAGAAGCAGGATGAACTTCTTCCCAAGTCATGGGGGTGGTTGAAAATGATGGGCCAGATCTGAAGGCAGAATGAAGCGGTGCAGCTCTGCTCATGCCAGTCCTGGCAAAAACTGTTTCCCTGTGTTCGCTGCAGGGCAATGCATGAACCTCAGAAAGCCTCACGGAGAGGTCCAAGCAGTGATCCTTGCAGACTGTCAGGGTGATACCCTGGGATCAGCAGTACGAATGCTTGAGAGAAAGGTCACTTGGACAACCTGTCAGGTGTCAGGATAAAAACCCCAAAGTTTGCATGTCAGAGGTTCAGCACAGTGACAGCATAACTCTGAAGTCTGCAAAACCAGGCTGGGGTATCTGGCCACAACTGCTTCCCAGGGAAAATGTCAGGGTACTTCCTGAACCATCGTGAACTCAGCGTTCCCAAAATCCCGCTCAGTACTCTGCTGATGATAATCCTGTTTGCTTGTGGGCACTATGTCGCACTGCGCAATTTCAGAGAAGACGTGGAAAACATTCAACCTACAGTTTGGGAAGCAGCTCTCAGCTTCTTCTTCGACAACACTGAACACAGAGAATCAGGGGAATGTCTTCCTACATGCAGGTCTCTAAGCAGAAGACATCTTCCAGTCGCTACTGACCTTGTTTGAAAAAGCTCACCAGAATGAGGAGAATGGGCAAATGCCAGAAGAAGCTGTAACTCTCCCAGAAGAGCTCCAACACTCCTAGGATTGCTTGGAGCCGCAATCTTGAGCTAGCAGATCAGCCTCTTTGGTGGGACTTCAAGGACATTGTCCCTTTGCTTGCTGATGAGCAAGTACATCAGTGCTCCCTCTCCCTTCCAAAAGGACTGTCCAAGCACCAAGACACAGAAGACAACAGTGACTTCATCCTGGGAAGCTCATGATTTTTTCCTCATCTTAGGGAAATTGTTTTGGCTTGGGTGCCGATAACTGAAACCCATATGCTTTTATTCCTATGATTGCTTTCTATCTGCAGTGCTCCTAGAGCATTCAGCAGCTTCTACACAGAAATGGCTTCATCCACCAATTTACTTGCTACTGAGCTGCAGTATCCAATCCTGCGCTGTTGCAGAGCAGGAAAAAGAAAATATAAGCTGCAGAGACTCCTGGGAGGCAAAAGGCAGGTAACTCAGAGCAGCACACAACCCAGATCTGGGAGCCAACATTTAGATGGCACCAGAAGCAGGTGCTGTTTGCAAGGAGCTCCATTCCACTTCGTGGTTCAGCTTTCTCATTAGTGACAATGTGCTCCTTCGTGATCTTCCCACTTGGCCATCTCTCTAAAACAGCTCTTCTGGCTACAAATGTTGGAGCCGCTGGGTGAACTCTGAGTGCCACAGGGAAGGAAGTCAGGATGAACGGCCACCATAAACAATCTTCATCTTAAAACCCGTGAAGCAAAGAACCTGCTTACCCCAGTCAGCCTTTGAGTTCAGATCAACCCTGCTCATGACTTGCACAGATTCATGTTGTCCCATGTTCCTACTTAGCCTCAGCAAAAACAGAGACTTGGATGTGTGTTTGCCTCTACCTTCTTTGGATGAAGAAGTGAGGGAGATCCTGGAGAGAGGCACAAAGCAGCCTTGATACAGCACAGTTACTAAGTGTAGCATTTCTCCCGGGCATTTTCTCTTTGCGAGGGAAAAGTTGTAAGTGTGAACAGATGAATTAAAAGCGAGAGGGGAAGCATCAGGACAGCTGTAGTTCTACTTAAGTCAATATGTGCTGTCTCTCATACGCAACTCTGGACAGAATCAACGTTTGGGTCTTCTAACCCAGGGGATGTAATCGGAGTCACTCAGCAGGCATTCAGCATGGTGATGACACCTAGCCTTGGATGCTGTTGCTCCTG